AAGAGGAAAGAAGGGAAGAAAAAATTAAACGTGTAGCTCTATCATTAACACACTAGCAAAAGATTTTGATTAAGACAATTTCACTTGAGTATAACTGAAATTTACCTAGGTATGCTTTGATAGAATTTTCATGATGGTTTTGCAATATTTATATGACTGATATGAGGCTTAAAAAATATACCAACCATGCAAACAAATGCCAAGGAAAAAAACACAAAAAGATGATATAGAAAGACTGCTCTGCAGGAAATGTTTTCAGACATAGACGTGTTTGATATACCTATGGAATTTTTGTTGGCAAGCTTATTTATGAAAAAAAAAACAATGAGATACAGTATGTGGGGAGAAAACTGGTAACTTGTACCCACATTCCTACTTGAGACTTGACATTAGAGGTTCATGCTATAGTTGGCCTCTCTGTTACCATTTATGGACTGTTTACTCAGGTTGGGTAGAAAATGACCACTTCCAGGGCTTCACTCTGCCCAGACTTCACTCTGCTCTCAGTATTCCATAATCCATCCATAGCTCTACTGGCAGAGCTCTTTGTGAGGAATGCCAGAAGTTCATGCTGATCTTGGAATTGAGAAAGATGGTGCTTCTCCTCCTAAACAGTTTCCTTGTTTTTATCTCCTGAACATGATGTGTATGTAATGGGCAAGTTTTTTTTTCCAACTTTAAGTTGATTGGCAGAAAACTCAGACTTAACATTTCTACCCAATTTAACAGTTATGCAGGTCATTACACCTTTGGTTTTTACTGCACTCCTGAGACCACTCTTGCTTTTTCAGCACTTGACGTATCACACAGACCACATAAGCATAGTCCCCCAGGACTTCCTAGGCCAAGCACACTGGGTTCCAAAGAGGTCACAGTCAAACTACCAGGATCTCCTGGCTCAGCCTCGAGCCCACCACCACCTTCATCTCAAATTGGTAAGTCTTCCACCACACATTCAAATTATGCTAGCTTGCTGTATGTTATGTAATATTGTCTAATGCCTAAAATTCTAGCTCAGTTGGTTAGAGCACAGTGTTGCTAACACCAAGGTCAAGGGTTTGGATCCCAGAACTGGCCAGTCACCAAAAAAAATAAAATAAAATCCTACTAGGAATGTGGCTGGATATAAAATATCCAAATATCTTTTTTTTTTTTTGTCCTTTTTTGAGACCGGCCACACCGCGCTCAGCCAGTGAGCACTGTGAGCGCACCGGTCATCCCTATATAGGATCCGAACCCGCCGCGGGAGCGCTGCTGTGCTCCCAGCACCACACTCTCCCGAGTGCACCACGGGCTAGGCCCAAAATATCCAAATATGTTTAAACACAGACAGTGATATCACTGACATCAAATTATTAGGAAATTAAGTTTCCTCATAATTAGGGATTGTTTCACTACTCTTAATGCAACCCAGCTGATAGTGAGATGAAAACAAATATACCCTGACATACCACACCTTGATGTCCATGCCTAAGGCATGAGTTAGTCATGAAACAGGATATATATCACTGGACTTCATATTTTATGGATTACAGGGCCCTTTAAAATTGATTATTTATAACCAGGAGTATTTTATTTATAAACCTTTCAAAACCAAGCATTGTAATATAATATTTTCAGACCGTCAGCTAAATAAATGCTTAAGGAAATAACATTTACCATATTGAGAGCTAATAAAAGTGCATTTTCCTAATTCCAAGAGAGAGGTAGGAGAACAGGTCATGTTAGAATATGTTTATAAAATTAAAATGATTTGTTACTTATTGCTGCCCTTCTACTCTTTTGACAGCAGTGGTTCATAATCTCTTTTGAACCAAATACTCTCAGGGAAATTGATCATGGCCTCCTAGAAATCCAAATGTATACACAATTTTGAATATAATTTCAGGTAGTCCACAGAATGCCTGCCTGCATCCCACCCACAAGCCTGTCTACCCCTGGCACAGAGATCCTTGCAAATCAGGTTAAGATTCTTTGCTCAGCTGAAACTCAAGATTTTAAAACAAAAAAATTAAAATAAAAAAATAATCAGGTACACACACACAAGTGTTTAAAATCAAGAACTAAATTAACCTTTCATAACAATGATCTCCTCTGTTCCCTTTCGCTGAATGCTACCTTTTTAATAAGGAGACAAAACTAAAACACTTCTTATACGTTAATATAAGGATCTAAACTCACTTCTACTATACTGTAGAAACAAGTATTCCTGCTAATCATTCATACTTCTAACATCAGTTGCACAATGTCCTGTATCACATATTTTTTTCCTAGTAACCAAAATTTTCACCAGTGTAAATCATGTTCAATTTTTTAAAATTCACAGTAGAAGACTAATGGAATACATTCTTTCACAAAAATTTTTAGACTTTCCCAATTTACTTTAATCCATATTTTGCTTAACTTAATATAATGGCAAAGACAGTCTTATTTCTAAAACAGATGAGATTTGGACATTTTAAAAACTGAAAATCTTCCAAACTGTCATTCCTGATTTAACATTATACCTCTATTCTCCTCCATATTTGCAATTCAATTCTATCAAACCAGAAATTAGAAAGAATACAATGACATTATATATGAACATAACAAGTATAAAAATTGCAACAATTCACTTGAGAATTTTTATTACATTTATGTCTGCATAATATTGAAAAAACCTTATATAAATGAGAAAGCAGCTGAAGGGCAAAATCAGACTCCTGACTTTATGAGATGCAGGCCTCATGTCTTTCAGATAAAATATTTGTAGGTGCCACAGTCAATCAAGATTTCAATAGAAACCAAAGATGAAAGCATTCATGCATAAAAGGCAAGTGTGATAATTATAATGTGCAGACAAGATAATGGAAAATATCCGAGCCTGCTTTTCATTTTATGTATCAAGTGCTGCCTTGACCTAGACATTCTATAATGCTCCACCACATTTACTGCATTATTTTATCATTTTAATTATTTAGCAGAATTCAATTAATTTCACTGGCATCTGGTCAGTGAATGAAAATCCACCACTATCTTGTAGCATCTATTCCTTGCTTTATTTGTCAAAATAATGTTGCAAATTTTGAACAAACATGCAATTGAGTTTAAAGTTCTTATTCATTCTTAATATTTATTAATCTCTTCCTGATTAAACAAATGGCACCCATTTTCCTGGTATGTCATTTCCAGACAGTTTACTTCGAAGCATTAGTAGACAGTTTATATCAGAAATGTTAGTGTGTGACTCAATATTTGTAAAGTTTACATTGGCTTCATTTTAAAAGTTCTCTGATGGTAAGGTTAATGGAAAATGGTGTAATAATTATAACAGGGAAGAAGATAGTTCAGCATATAGTTTAAGCAGAAAGTTCACTGCCTATGTATTTAAGGATTATGGTAATCATCTCCTAAGATCTGCTCTAATCTATTATCCAGAAACAGGGATCACTCACCTTAATATTCATGAAAATACACCCTAACAAAGTTCAAGATTACAACTGCATTGCTATTATTACTATCATGTATTATATTTAAAAAACACCAGGGCTTTACAGTTATCAGCCTGCCAAAATTATTATAATGCTTCTTACAAATGTGATAATCTAACTGTTCCTTCTAACACTCTTCTATAATTTGGGGGGAATTGTTAGCTATTACTAACAATTTCTGTTCAGAACTGTCAAATCAAAGAATGGAGTTTCTTACTGTCCCCATTTCATTATTAAATGAAAGCATATATAATGCGGGGACAAAGTACCTTTCCTAATACAAGGTAAACCTAACATACCAGTGAAACTTAGATCAGCAACTGACTAAAAGGGCACTGCTCTCTGGGGATTTAATCCTGCATAAAGGCAGAATGTTTTGCTCCTCAGTTGTCACTCAAATGGAAGTCCACTTTCCCCTGGAAATACATCCCAAACAGCCTACATCTTCTTTGGGATGCGTGGCTAGCAAAACAGAAGGACGGCAGGAGGTGAATCTGATTCTCCTCCCCATGTGTAAACAGATGAGCACAAGGCTGCCTAGAGCAAATTTAAGAGAGAGGAGGAAAAGAGGCAGGTGGCTGCTTTTGCTGGCACTCTCTGCATGCTCAAGCAGGCACAGAATGAAACCATCAATTGAGCTCCCAGAAGAATTCTTCATTCTGGCCCATATGAAAACAGAGATTGGTATAAAAAATAAGAATTCAAGTTGCACTGAAGTAAGTTAAATTTTGCCAATCCAAGAAGGTACACAATCTCATGTGTATCAAGTTACCCAGGGACCTTTACGTTCCATAAGGGCACCCCCAGGCCAAATAGATCACAGAAGAACTGTGTGTCAGAGGTGAAGAAAGCAACCCTTTGGGGAAATGATACAGCAACTTAAAAAGTAGTCACAAAACACCTCCACTCTGAGACACAGCAACAATACTCTTTGGAAGGATTTAACTAAAGAGAAGGAAAAGTAGGGCCGGCCCGGTGGCGCACTGCTGTAGTGCGCTGCTTGGGAAGCATGGCGGCGCTCCCGCCGAGGGTTCGGATCCCACATACAGACTGGTTCCCGCTCACTGGCTGAGCAAGGCGCGGGAGCAACACCGAGGGTTGCGATCCCGTTGCTGGTCCCGGTCCGGTCCGGGGGTGACACTGAGGGTTGTGTTCCATTGCCGGACACGGAAAAAAAAAAAAAAAAAAAAAAAAAAAAAAGGAATAAAAAAAAGAGAAGGAAAAGTATACTGGCACAATGATGTTGAATGCATTCTATAAAAAAGGAAAAAAATTGGTAATAGCCAAAATAGATTAAACATAATCACTTGATGAAATACTAAGCAGATAACTAAAATAACCATGAAGATAACACAACAGGAAAAAATATTCACAAGTTAATGTGAAGAAAAAGTAAAATTTTTCAATTAAAGAAACCTTTAAAAGTCAATAACCTGAAAAGAATAAAATCAACAGAGTGACATTCTACACTGTAAAAACACCTCAAAAACAAAGAACCTATCAAGGGAAGAAACAGAAAGCAAGTTTTACCTTGAGCTAGTCTTTCAAGTCGTTTTCCATGCTCCGGGGGTATAGCATACCTAAAATTTTAAACAAAAATAAAAATTTTAGGTTTACAATTTTTCAAATAGTATCCTAATGACATCCATCTTAAATAATGCCTTGGTAAAAAAAATTCAACACCATACTCAACGTAGACAACCTGAATAGAGATTAGAAAACCAATCACAGGCTCATAACACTGAGACACTGGATGGATGAAGAAAAATAAACTTATAAATTGCCTGTTTAAATATCCCAGCTCACCATCCCAACCACATTTTAAAGATTAGGGAACAAAGACCTAAGGCCAGAACACCACTTAGCATAGTGGGCAGCTAGCCACAGCTTAGAGACGCTACCCTGGGTCTTATAGCACACCAGCTCTCCTGGGCTATTTTCGGTTGCTTGGTTTTTGTTTTATGGTTAGTTAGTTTTGGCTTTTGTTTTTAAGAAAATCTGGGCTGTTGTCTTTTTATCTTTGAAAATATTTTTACTGACAAGCAGAACACAAAATTATTTTATCAACATTTATATTTCCACCAAACCTTTCTAAGAACACTATAATTTTCAAACAGAACTTAAATAAAAGATTACCGGCTCTAAAGAACAGCTTTTATTTATTTCATAATCATATGACTTTTAAGATCTCAATTATAGTAACAATTTTTCACACTGGAAGAACAGAAATACTCATTTCTAGTTCCTGGTGTTTTCAAAAGTGAAGTACTCGAGATTATTAACTGTGGACTTACCAACAAATTTTAAAGCAATAATCTCATAATATCCTATACAAATACTAAATTTCATAGGCATTTTAACGAGAAAATTTATAGATATTAAAAATAAATTTAAATGATCATTTCATGTTTTAAGTAAAAACAATATATTATTTTTGAAGACCTACATTTATATACTTAGTAGCTCAAAATATATTAAGTACAAGTTAATTCTTGCTTAAGTAACCTATCTCACTGTACTTAAATCCAAACTTGGTTGTATTTAATGCTACTGATAAAATGCAAAACTTAATTGGATCCAATGTAACTAGGCAATTCACTAAAAGAAAATTCAACCATATATCCTGTTCCTTAAAGCACTGCTAATAAAATTATTCCAAGTAAACTGAGAAGATAAAATTTTAGCATAACTAAATGACAATCGCCCAAGGTATATTTATGGCCACTTCTTACCAGCTTTTAATCCCTTGTTTACATCACAAATATACCCAGAAAAGGAAAAACAGTACAGGTACATAGGGATGTGTGAGTGTACGTACAGTAGTCCCCCTTTATCCATGCGGGACATGTTCCAGTAACCCCAGAGGATGCTTGAGACCACAGATAGTACCAATCCCTAGATATATATATCTATAATAAAGTTTGATTTATAAATTAGATACGGTAAGAGATTAACAAGAGCTAATAATAACATAGAACAATTATAACAATATGCTGTAATAAAAGTTATGTAAATGTGGTCTCTCTGTCAAATATCTTATTGTGCTGTACCACGGTTAACTGAAACTGTAAAAGTGAAACCGCAGATAAGGGGGGACTACATATATGTATATATATGTATGTATGTATACACACGAGGGTACTTCATAAAGTTTATGGAAATACTTGTATTATCTTTCAATTCCATTTCTCCACAAACTTTCTGAAGTACTCCCATACATACCTCTCCTGCCCTTATTAGCCTAGTCTCCCAAATTCTCTCTTCTACAAGTATACTATTACCCAGATAAAGCTATTTCTATCTAAGCCAGATGTTTTATTTAATTGGTCCTACTCTTCTTCTTTAGATTTGGGACAGTATCTCAGTCTATTTTCAAATTCTACAAAAAGATGAATGGGTACAAACCTACACTATCCACTCTAGGTGAATCAGTGTACAGTGCATGCATGTCTTGAATCAACACACTTTACCCCATAAACATGTACAAATAAATGCTTTTAAAAAATTAAAACAGTAAAAAAAAATCCAAGTCATTTTAAGATCATAAATAATTATTAATAAAATTCGTACAGTTAACCAGCCATTGCTATAGTTCAATAGCTTAAGAAATCATCAAATGATAAAAACATCCCTCCAGTCACAACCCCACATGCAAGAAGACATGCAGTACTTCTCAAGTAGAAGCAAATCCTCAAACTGAAAGCCACACTGTGCTAACATGCAATGAAGCACAGCTGGGCAAAAACAACGTCAAGGAAAGGATCCTCTCCCTTCCCTGATTTATTTAGTCATTTTTAGTCACTTAGTTATCTTGCTCAAAGTTAACAATCCTATGTTTTGTTAAATAATATTTAAATAACATGACATAGCTGTATAATGTTTTATACCTTGCCCTAGGGTCTGATATACAAAGGAGTCAAAACTGAACATAAATAATAATGTTAAACTGGGAAGTAATCATTAGACAGTGCTATCCATTTGTTCATCATCAGATTCAACATGATAAAGAACTAAGAAAGAATAGTTTTAAATTTCTAGGAATTCACCCAAGAGTCAAATCATCTAGTGTCCTATAATAAACAATAAAATCAGACCACTCTGCAGTCAAGAAGCATACGTGTAGCATCTTCGCAACCACAAAACCTTGCTCAAATGATACTACTTTAAACCAATTATCTCACTCAATGAAGCTCAAATTTTGTTCTCTACATACAAGTCACAGGGCTAGAAGGGCCCTTAAAGACAATCCAGCTTCATGTTTCCAAACGCTTTTTCTGTTTCCACACCACTACAGGGGCAGAACTGCTAACACCTGTCATTACCGGCAGTAACTGGCACCTGGGAGAACGAAGGACAACAGGCACACACGTCCCTTGGGGGTGGGGAGCCCAGCCTACCTTGATAAAAGCTCTCTAGGTAATTCTGACAGGGACTGGGATCAACGTACACAGGCTCTCTTCCAATTACAACATCCAAGGACCTCTCCTTGGTCTTGATTCCCTGCAACCTCCCTGATGCCTGATCCTGTTGACCAATCCCCTTAGCTTGCCTGTAGGAGGGATTTGTGTATCCCAGGGCTTTTTTTTTTTTTTTTAATGTTTTTCCTTCATATATTTTCTTCAGTAATACCACAATGAATGGCCTAAGTCAAAATGCTAACCCAGAAAACTATATGGCTTCCATACCTACAGGAGATTTGTGTAGGCTGACAGACAGTCCTTGCCTGTAAGAAAGTAGGTGCCTGGTTTCAGGAGCACTCGGTTGTGTTGTGTTCAGTGGACCCACTGAATTCTCTGCAACAGCACCTCTGCTAGTCGGACCACAGCACTTGCTTGATGGACAAGTGCATCAATCTGAAAGCAGACAACTCTAATCTGCTTCAATACATACCATAAGTAGAGATAGAAAGAAAAGAGACAACCAAACAGCAAGGTGCATACATTTTCGTTGTCCACCAAACAATGTCCTCTGGTTGACTGGAGAGCACATTTGACAAGAACTGGAGGGAACCACTTAAGAGACCTTGCACAAGTCACATAACCACTGACAGACTGTGTCTACCTCACAGAACAACACTGGAAGGATCAACTGAATAATATTTAGGAGCTCGTTATGACTATAATGCAATGAAGTGAGCCTGACCTGCTGACCCTCATATCCAGTAAACTCGAGACAGTGTTCAAGAAATATTGGTTCAAAGAATCACATCATCAGGGTCAGACAGGTACATAAAAGACTGATTATAATTTGATAGATCCCAGGAAGACACAGACACAGTACCTTTCTGCAACAATTCAAAATACCCAAAACCCAACCCTCCAGCAGTCTGACAACCAGCCCCTGAACTCCTCTTCCTCTCACCCCTCAGGCCTAAGGATGTGCATGGTACTCAACAAATACATGGTGACTGTAAGATTCTTTTGGTTACTCTCCCGGAAATTTTCTTTTAAAATAGATATGCTGCTAGTAAGAATCACTTTAATGTACTCTAATTGAATTCAATAGATAGCTCCTGAGCACCTGCCACGTATGAAGAACTGCAGGAAGAACTCAGGCATTTTTTATTTAAGTGGACGGGGTAGAGATACACAGAGCTATTGCTAACATCGATCTAATCGAATACACGTGCATTTCTTCAGAAAGTTTAGATTGCAGTACATGGATCTCAGGAACATCAACGTCCCATGCAGATTTACTACCAAGTGGCAGTTAAAATGAACTAATAAGGGTAGATGAACAAGGAGGGGGGAAAGACTTTTGGTTTTTCAAAGCCCCCAAAGTTATCGCCACTAGGGATGAGCTGGAACACCTTAACTCTAGGATGTGTAAATCTTAAATCTGAAAGAAGTATCACTACTTATTTACATTTCTAAGATTACTTCACAGTTCTAATTAGCACCTACCAGGCAGCAGGACAAAAATCAGGATTCCTGTCCTAATGAGGAATATCAACAAAAAGATTAAACTGTTGGATGTCCAACAATTACATAAAATATAAAGATAAAAAATATCTTGCACATAGTATTTCAGTCAGTCCTCACAGCAACCCTCTGCCAAAGGTCACATGGTCAGCACTTAAAGTTATTTTCTAAAAGGGTTCTAGTGAAATTTCTCTAGGGGTTTGCCATGAGCAAAATTTTCTGTGCACATTACACATGTAACATAAATTGTAACACACGACTATAAGGCACTGTTTGCAGAAACCTCATAAGAGCTCACATACTCACATGAGTGTGTCCACTCAGAGCAGCTCGCCCTTTAAGTCTCTAAGATAAGGTGTAACTGACCATCACAAGTAGCTGCCCACTTCTCGTCATGCCCTTCCAATCTGTCTTTCACGGTGTGCTAAAGTAATCTCTGTGAGCACCAGATCTGATCATGACAAAGCCCTGGGCCTTCAACTACTGTCTTTACCTGAAGGCCAGAAGCCAAACACGTCACACAGACCTGCTGCCACCCAGAACCCTGGCATCTCTCTCCTGTTGCATCTATTGACCAATGGTTCAATCAAATCCTGCTCTATGGCTTTAACAAACCACTTAATGCTCCTTCTTAAGTCTCCTTAAATATTAAAATAAAA